ACAGCTTTCACTTGCTAACCTCAGACAGGCCTACTCGGTGGTGGCACCTTGCCTTTTGAGCAAAGGGGATAGCTTTTTCAGGAACTAGATCAGCCTCTTGGGAAGGTTATCTTCCTTTTTTTCTCTTGGGACGCTCTACTCTTATTTGGAAACTGACTTTCCTGCTGCTTTTGCTGGATGTATTCAAATGTCCGGTGCTTGCTTTGATATTTCCGTCCTTGGAAAGCCCACTATTTGGGACCGCTCGGCTGAAAACCAGTTACATTTTTAGCAACATATGACATGTTCACTTGCTAGCAAAAACAATTTACTAATTCTTATTAATAATTCTCCTGCACATTGTCTTTTTTTGTATTGTCACAAAAAAATAACAATCACTTCTACTGCATGCAAAGTCTGCTGAAGATAAGCACTGTGCTTGCCTCCAATACACTCAGACCACAACAATTCCACCAGCTGCTCTGGGGACACCTTTACCCTATGCCCATGTATCACCAAGAGTCTAGAGAGCAGGTAGGGCTCTGCCAGGCCCCACATTATTGTTTTGGAGATAGATGATGATGTTTGGCCATTGATTCCTCTATTATGAAACCTGAAGCCTGTCCCTAACCCTGAGAAAGAAGTCTCCCTGTTAGTAAGCAGATGTCAGCTGAGGAATTTGGTCTAAATCTGCTGACAGCTCTTATCGCAGTAGTTGTCTGTTGGTAATATTATGTAATTGTCATTTCATGTACTGTGCTTGAAATCTAGTTCAGAGCAATCGACCACTAATTGGTTTCCGGTCTACAAGCTATTTTTCTGCCTTGGAAGTCATAATTAATGCTACTCCCTCCAAGTTATCATCATCTTGCTTCATGAATATATTATAGCTTTGTTTTCATTCTTAAGATTGCTCTTCATCAATTCCTAGTCACAGACAGTTTGCTTACTCAAAGGATTTTACTTACTGTATTCCTCTATCTCTTTCACCTGTGCCTCTTTTGTTGTTGCAACCTTTCTTCCAGTGTTCCAGAAACCTACTTTCTGTGGCTGGTTTTTTTTCCAAACCTTTCCCTGAAGAACTCCTCAGAGGCTTGCCTGGCTCACGATTTTTACCAAAGCAGGTCGTATCATTTCACCCACGACAGAATCTGCTACTTATCTGGCAAATACTTTGCTGGAACAGCTACTTTGCCATCTTCCTCTGATTTGTCTCTTTTTCAAGGACAGATTTTTGCTCCTGCAGCTGTACCCCCAACAACAGGGTGTTGTATTACTGTTTTTCATCACGACCATGACTTTTGACCAGTTTGATTTGGGTCATGAGACTCTACAATCTCACCCTGAGCAAGGTCAACTGGAGCCTTGTTTTGGTCGCTGGGTTCAGGTGGTACCCACATACTGCCAGCTGCTAAAGGATAGCAGCTGTTTTCCTGTCACTTACATTCTACTTGATAAGGATGCTGCAAGATGAAAAGATTGCAGAGTACTCACATTTTACAGTAACAGCAGCCATTTCAATACCTGGCTTAAAAAAGAAACCACATCTTGCATTTCAGAAACAGCTGTGTTCTGTCTCCAGAGCTGCTGTAAATTGTTCATACCTTCTTCTGCATGACATTTTGCATGGCATCCCTCCCTCGCCTTCAGCACACTAATATGTTAGAAATTATCACCGCCCAAATTTTATGCAGGTTCATGTTAGGACTCCCTAAATACAGTGAACCATAGAAACTTAACACTTACCAGAGCTGGGAGAAAAAAATTCAGACAATTTTTTTTTTGGCTACTGAACTAGCTCATATTCTTCTATACTTACGGTGCTATTTGTGTCAGCAGATGGAGAGTGAAAAGGAAGGTCCCTTTTGCCAACAGTTTATACTACCTCACATGAGAGATGTTATCTACATTTGGGCCCCACGTGAGAAAGTAATTTTGGACCTGACAATGGGTAAGAGCAGACTTTGCACTTGGATGGCCAAGCCACAGGCCTGAAACATTAACATTCAAAAGGGAGAGCCAAAATGGGCCAGCAATGTTGAAAAGTTGTACAACATTGCAAAAGCCCAGTCTTTCACAAAGACAAGTTCCACAGAGGGAAAGGAAATTTAACCCAGAGGACCAGTACCTGGGACTTGCTAACTTTTTCCCAGAGCAAAACTGTAGGGGGTAGCTATCAACCAAACAGGAGATGAAAAATCTAGACCAAATCAGGATGTTATGGGCTGCTCTGGAAAACTGCAGGATGGACAATGGATTAGGTGAGTGCACTATCTCCACTGAGGGTGTCACCCTTGGCACCAGCCAGGTTAGTGAATAGAGTGGGAGATGGGGTTGGGAGAAATAAAAACAACAGTTCAGGGTTAAAAGAGGAGTCCCCTGGTTAAAAAATGAGGAAAAAAAAGCTATTATCCAAGATATTCAGAAATGGGTGTCAGTCAGGACAGAAGACAGAAACAGGGAAGACAAAGAAGCCACATTCAGAAGAACATAAAAACCAGATGGCTTAATGATATTTGAAGATAACAAGCTCTCAGGTAGTATAAATACAGGCTGAGCAAGTGTAAGCCATTCACTGCTTGCTTTAAGAAAGACAAACCATCCCCATTTTACCTCTTCATGTTAACACACTGGAATAAACAAACAGCCACAGAAAGACTAAAGCAAACAAGGGACATGGGCTGTGTTAAAAACTTTCTTGTATAACCCCGAGCAACTACTTCATGCCCCAGCTTATACACATGTAAAAGCTCTGTATACTGCAATAAGTGTCTGTAAGATGGGTTTAATCAAAATTTCTTGCTTAAAGCTTGCTGTTTAGTGTATAACCTGGAGAAAAGTTAAGTAATTTTGCCATTTACAGTTATCTGGTACATCATTTCTCCCTAGAAACACGCTTTTTTTCTAAAGTACCAAGACCATAAAAGTGCCCTGTTTTTCTGAAATGGAGAGACTTGAATCCACCTGTTCAAATCTAGACTTTAAAAAGCAGCAAGTGCAGACATGGAAAGGCAAGGACTGAGGCATCAGGAAGCCAAGTGAAGCATCAGCTCAAACAGAGCCCCAACGCCTGTTCCCAAACACAAGAACTTTGAGATGTGTGGGAAGCCCAGAGAGCACACAGGGCTACCTCCTCCTTAGGTAAACTCCTGCACTTCTCTAACTCTCTTGCCTTCCATTTTAGCACCTGTTGAGCAGACAGAAGATGAAATACTTGGGGCAAGACTTCCTTGCAGAAGATTTTTATTTTGTTCTTCATTAGCAGGTAGGCGACAGTCATAGGTATCAATGTGGGTGAGCACATGGGGGTTTTGTGGATGATAGAGCGTACACGTTTATTCCCAGGAGACTCATCTCACTTATTTGACACCCACGTTCGCACTTGCAATCACAACTGCACCAGCTACAGTTGTATTGGAGCCTCTGCTCTCAGTAGACTCAAACTCAGGATCCTTTATAGTAATGGAGAGCTTTACCAACACTATACCACTAATATCATCTGCCAAGATAGTACTTTTTATCATGTGTTTTAAAATATATATTAGTCTGATGTATTAGCCTGAGCACTTATTCCTGATCAACTTCATATAACAACAGCACTAAAGAAGACCAGTGATACAGGAGCTTTTGATGTTCCAACTTGCTTACAGGACCCAAATCTAAGAGACAGCAACATTGCATTGAGAAATGTCACATCAAGGTTTCCAGTAGCTTCAACATTTCCCATTTCATTAAATGACAAAAGAGCTGGAGAAAGGAGGAAACTATTTCTGCTCCACTTACTTGACAAATGCAGGAACCTGCGTATAGATCAACTGACACAACCTCTCTGGATCTTGCTGAAACACACAAACAAAGCAAAATCAACCCAGGCAACTAGAATTTGCTGCCATGGTTTAGGCAAATGGCTTAAAAACCAGAAGGTTTTGGATACCTTGGTTGAATGCTTCCAAATAACGAATAACTGCACAGAAGTATACAGTGAGCAGCAGGTTTCAGAATTCAGTGCCTATCTATCTACACCAGTGGTAATAAACAGATTAACTCTGTATGACAACTTAGCTACAAGTCTCAGCCTGGAAGCACTTCCCTCCCCCCTATACCTAAATCACAGTCAGAAATGCTCCAAAGGAGATTAGGGAGACGACTTTGCCATGCACAAAGTGCTAATCTAAATATGTTCCCATTTAAGTAGGTGGAGGTTCTAAATTTGACTGATATGGCAATGTTTGGTCCAGTCCTTTGTGTTTTTCAAGATTTGTGTAAGCTTTTAAAGCCTCTCATTTCTTTTAAAGCAAGTTTCACCATCCCTAGAAATGTTTTCTGCTCTTAGCCTTTTTGCTATAAATGTACTGACAAATTGCACATACACATATTCTGCTGAATCTAGGAAAATGACAGGGTTTGTGCTTCACCCGCTAGGTCTGAAACAGCAACAGCTGCAGGTGATGCTCTGGCTTGTGCCAGCATTTGGTAGCGGTGTTCTAGCGTACAAGAGGGATGGCTGCTTCATCAATGTGCTCTGTAAGCTTTTACACTAGGCAAGATCCCAAAATATAGGCCATTGTGTTTCTTATTTTTATCCATACAACACTGTTAAATCAATGGGATTTACATGGATTAGCAAAGGACAAACTCAGTCTATTTTAGTAATGGTAAAATGACATTAAGATTATAACCCATCTCACACTCCCAAGACTAATTACTTCCCAACTCAATGCATCAGAAGGCTCTTTCTGACTAACAGAGTCATGTCAAATGAAAATAAAATAGTGGTGGTTTTTTTCTTTTTTTCTTTTCTCTCCTTTAGACATGATGGATTTTAAAACTGAAAAGAATTAATTGCTTTGTTTTATTAAGAGTGAAAAAGAAGCACAGGCTGCTATGCTGCTTGGCTAGAAACACCAGACTCTCAGTCTGCTGTCATCTCACTGAACCCTGAATCATGACATCACATCTGGCCACAACGTAATTCCTTTTGGAAGATGGAGCTCTCATATACTCGTTAGGTTGCTGTTCTCCCCCCAGCTGCTCCTGAGTCTCTCACACGTGAACAACAGCGCTTGTATGGGAACACTCAGAGAAAAATGTCACCGAGGTTTTGAAATGATAATCAGAAAACACACTGTGGTATTAGTTCTGCTAAACATTATAAAAACTTGAATTTTAGTTTTTATTAGCTTCTGCAAGACTGAATTTCTCAGAATGATGTAACTGCTGCCTTAAAATCATCTGAAAATGTTTTTTTTGTCCTAACACTAAAGCTCTACATCTCCCCTCTTCTGAGCTATGTACAGAATAGCTAATCTGAGATCAACTCACACATTGGTTTCAAAGGGACACAAATATTAAATGGGCTGAAGAATATCTAGGACGATGCAGAGAAACATGTTTTGCACATGTAGGGACACAACTACTTTGGCATTGTGTAAGGAGTCACCAGCCACCAAAGGATGTGTGGCAGCTGCCCGTCTGCATGCTGCTCCCAGTGCAGGGCCACAACAGGCCAACTCGGCCCAGCCTAGCCTACGGCTGAAGTGGGTGACTCCGTTTGTAGCTGCTGGCAAACAAAGGAGTTACTTACTTTTAGTACAGTGAGGATTTCTACAGGCAGTAAGTTCTTAACTTGGAGCCCACATGGACAATGGTTCAATGGCTGCCTCTCCAAATACCTGTCCTCAAGTGCTGGTCCAGGGGCTGTATCTGCAGCTGTGGCAAAGCCCAGGGCAGCTCAGGCTAAGGGGGTCCCGGTGCAGGTCCACACACAGCTTTGTGGTCCCAGGGTGGGCACCTCTGACAGCATATTGAGTTGAACTCCTGGCTGTCATCAACCAAGACTGGTGGTTTTCACCGCATTTTCCTCCAGAAGGTAGTTTATTCTGTCTGCTTTGTTTTAAGCTGCTTGCACTCATCACTCCCCACACTCTCTGCAAATGAAGGCTGGTTTACAGCCTCTATCCTAAGAACCACATCTTCGCAGGGCTGCATGTGTGCACTACAGTTTAAGTACTCTGGGACTGCTCAGAGTGAAATGCATAAAATGCTAATGTATTACTAGACTCCTACAATATTTTTAAATAGCATCTCCAGTATATAGAACTATTTTACAAGCAAGTCGGTGTTCTATGACACCAAAGATTTTTATTTTATCTTTTAAAGTTTAAATATCAGAGAAAAGTGGGTGTTGATAGGATCTGCCAGCAGCACAAACAAAATGTACGAACTCAGACTAGAAATGAAACAATCTCTCCACAACAGGCAAAGTAAGGCAGTACAATGGAAAAAATTCCACAATACACACCACCTTAAAAGTATTGAACAAGCAAGTAGAACAAAGATTTCAAAGCACATTTGGACATGCGCTTCTTCAAGCAACATGTCAAACCCACTACCTTCTCCTCCCCTTCTCCTTGACAGATGGTCTGACTGGGCCCAAAGCCACACCACCAAGCTGTGATCCTGGCAAAACCCACAAGGTAAATAAGGTTGGGCATAAAGTACAACTGGATGGGAGGCATGTGAACACTGAAGGATGAGATGCTGGCAATTTAGCTAGCAGCACAAACTGCTCTGAAACAAGGGTTCAGTGCACTGCCAAGAGTGCTCTAGAGGTAGACATTAAATAGCCAGGGTTGTATCCACCTTCAGTTGAAGCTCATGTGTGTTTAAAAGGTTTAAATGCTTCAAATTTCCTGGGCAAACTCTAATTATCTTAATTTTTCTTCAAGCTACTATAAAAAACCCCAACAAAATCCTCAATTAACATTTATTGAATTTTGTTTTCTTCTGTGCTGCTAGTGTGGCATGAAGATGCCAGGAAGTGCTACCATGCTCCTTTGCAGGACTGGTTGTATTTCATGGGTACCAAACTACCTATACGTGTGCTTTGTAAGCGAAGCTGATTCCCTCAGAGCTAAAAAACACTGTAGCGATGCCAAGTCATATTATTTGGGCAATTTCTGTTGTTTTAGCATTGTGTAGTGGAACCATCTGCACAAGAACCAATCAATAATCAAAGCCAGCCACTGCCAGATGACAAATCCCTCCGCTTCTCCAGGTTTAAATGTCAAATTATTGGTGCCATTCGAATTCTGGTTTGCTTTTAACTTCAGATCAAAGCTAACATAGCTGGGAAGACAATACTTTTCACCCTCTGCCTTGCCCCCCTCCTCACTGCTCTGAAATCATCTGTCTCGAAGCCAGAAGTCTAAATGGAGTGTAGGGCGAGTTCAAAACAGGGAAGGTTGATGGGAGTCTACTGCCAATTCCACTCCGCAGTCACAGCTTGCTTCCACAGCTCCATTAGCTGCCTGCAATCAAGGGCGGACGACTCAGTCCTGCTTGCTGTCCAGGTTTAATAGGTTCAGCTAGCTAATGAGCAATGGCTAGATTGCATTCCAAGACTTCACATCATTCACAAAGCAGTTAAGTGTACACTTCTTGGGCTCCTCCAGGAGCCTGATAGGAGTGCCTTGTTCTACTGAGAGGATCACTGCAAGCCACAGTTTTCGAAACTGAATAGCATGACACAGTGGGAAACTGTCAGAATATTCACCTTCTTCAAGTATCACGCTGAATGCATCATTCCTTTTCCACAAGCCTCTGAAGGGCTCCCTTACCTGTACACCTCTGGATTATAGATTGCTCTTGCCAGATGAAACCAAGATCTGTAAGCCAAGGGGAAGCATCTCAAGTTAACGAAACAGATCTTTATTTTGAAAGCCACTGCAAAGGTAGAGGTACTTTTTATACCCATACTTTTTACACGTTCCCAGAAGGGAACTGCAAGGCACCTTGCAAACAATGTAACACATACCCAGATTTACAAAGCTTAGAAAATAAGTGACTTGAGTCCTTGGGTATTCTTCACAAAACCAGGATCATGTCCCCAGAGGATGAAGCTACCTCTGAGGGCAGAACTGGAGGAAAAGCAAGTATTTCTTTTTGACTTGCACATGCTGATTCACCCCCCCGTAATCTTGCACTACTTTACTGTCATTAACATATGTACCAGGGCAAAGATCCTACTTTTACAGGGAGGTAACTTCCCTGGAGGTACAAAGAATCCTCAGCCTTAAGTGGCTGATTCACAGTTGGACCAAAGCTGGACCCTCCACAGACTCTATAAGGACAACTTCTTACATCTGCAGGTTGCCTTTTGCAGGCTGTGCAGCTGAACCTGAGAGAGAAAGGAGTCCTGCTGTCAAGGACCTATCTTTTAAGACATGCTACTTCAACGAGACCATGAGAGCCATGACCACAGAGCTAGTGGGTAGATGGCAGTCACTTTGAGAGAATAAGGAAGAAGAGATGATGGTCATACAGTCTTCTCTTCTAATCCCATATACAGCACTCACATATGAGACTTAAAAAAACCTGGATACTTACTGGTTTATAACATTATTGCTAAAAAGAAAAGAACAACAACAAAAAAAAATCCCCAAACACTCAAGGTCCCTTCACAACCTATTTCTGTAAAACCAGGAATCAAAGGGATTGTTTGAATTTTTAAGAATCAGATTCCATTTCTCTGAGTGTACCTGAGTAAACTAAGATGAGTTTAAGGAGAAAACAACCAAAATAACCCCTCTTTACTCATTTACCAAAACAACTTGTCACTAAACTTCAAAAAAAGATTTTCACAATAATACAAGACTGGTCTTCTTACTTTAAATGCAAAACCCTGGTATGGAAAGGAAGCACAGCTGAAGGGTTATATAAGTTTTTTCTTCTATTATTCTCCATTTCCTTTCCACATGCCAGTCAAAACTATAAAATACTTGTGGGAGAAATGCAGAAGGCACGATTTCACATTCCAAAAGATCTATTTCCCTGTGCTGCATACAAGCCAGGCGACCACCCAGGAAAGTCAGGGAAACATGCTTTAGCCCACTAGTGCTGCAATTTTAGACTGACAGCCCTTCTCCACCAGGGCTTTGCCCTGTATTTTCTATGAGAAGTAAGCACCAAACCTGACAAGCAGCCGACACTGCAGCATCACCTCTAAGCCTGCCCTGAAACAGTACTGACAAGCAAATCTGCATTTTCTCCTCTTGAGAAGTGGAGCCAAGTGCTAAAATACTTTGAATAATCTATCCACAAGAAAGAAAGAGAAAAAAGGAGTACATAACCATAATACGGAAGCCTGTAATACTAGGTGCTCTTTACTTCTTAAAACCCTTCCATCCCCTATCCCTTTGTCTTCCATCACAATACTTTTCACCCCAGTTTTATTAGGGAAATGAGAGAAAAGATGGGTTATCTATAGTCTTGGAAAAGGGTATGACCAGCTATTTTCTCTCCTTAAGAGCTCATGACAATGTTATTTTCTTTTCATACATCAATCACAGAAAGGTTTGGTAACTGTTTCAGAGTCACTAAAAATTAATCAGTCTGTCAGAGGCCAAGCTGGTTGAGAAACTGCTGGCTGGAGCAACAGAAGTAGGCATGACTTGCCTTCAACAAAGAAGGCAGCATCTGGTTTTAGTTAACTGGGTAAAGGGCAGTAAAACTCAGCCAAGTATTTATTTATTGGACTGGAGTGCCTTCAGCAAGAGAGGAAGGTGAGACGGTGTAAGGTTTTTGTAGTCCCAATCTTGGAGGAGAGGTAAGTGAACTCTGGTTTTACTTTTGGAATAAGATAGCACAGAAAATCTTTGGTAGAAATGATGATTTATGAAAGGGATGTTCTGTGTGTGTGTGTAAAACAAAAAAGGTCTAAAAGCTCTAAAGCTTTCCAAGATGATTCCTTTTCTATGACCTATTGGACATTATTTTTTGCCAGCTCATGACAGTCAAGAGCATGAGAAAGCAACAACCCACTAGTGAGATTGTTGCTTTGCAGAACGATGCTTTCAGTTCAGCAGTGGGGAATGCTGACTGTACCCTGGGTGCCACTAAAGTGTACCCTGGGATCTCTCCAGCAGGAAAACCAAATAAATTTAACAAAAGTAACAAGTATAAATGGAGCTTTACCTAGTCTTGACCCAAACCTACACTCAGTGGTGTTGCTTAGATAATACTTCAGTACAGGCTAATATGTGGACCTACCAGCTGTGACCTTATTTGGCTCTTAGTTGTGTCCCCCTACTCAGTGTGAGGGTAACACAACAGGGGTGAGCAATGAGAGACCCATAATTCTGGATTCACATCAACTCTGGTGACCACAGACTTTCAGATCATAGCTGAGCAAAAACACATGGAGGTCCACCTGAGGATGCTGCAGAGGTTCGTTGGATGTGTGGAAGGAAGCAAGAAAAGCAATTGAGAGGAAAACTGGAATTACCTTGCAGTGTTTAGCTGGGACCATCAGCCTCTTGCAAATTCTGTGTATAATCTTCCACCACAATGAGGTGTTAGGAAGCCCAGGATGGGAGGGGCATGCAGATAAAAAAAAGAAAGAGGAACCACTTTTTTTCTGATGTGTGTATTCTATTCAGGTGAATCTTTTTTACCAACAAGCTCTTTTCCTGGAATCAGCACGGATGCCCAAATGTCACTCTGGGGCCCTCTGATAAACACACAGCATACCTCAAATGTTTAGGTTATGTTGTGTGTTTGTAGTAGGAGGTTTTGATGGGAATTCTGGAGGTATTAGGTAATTTTTAACAGAGACATTATTAAAACCTCCTGGCTTTTTCAAAATTAGAGTCATTTGGCTAAGGTTTTGTTATTTTCAGACTATTATAGTAACATGCTGTAATGTTTACCATCTGAAAAATGAGACATAAAGGACGGATCTTTATTGACATCCATCTCATTTCTTTCCTTAGTCACCTTGCATACAACTGTGCATATCATTTTTACACCAATGGATTTTGAACAGAGGAATGCTCTGACCCGCAGATTTCCCTCCACCCGCTGCTGCTCCTTGTCCAGTGCCACAGTCACCTCTCTCTCTCTCTTCCTTCTTCTGCAGCTCTTTGTTACTCAATGTCAGGGTCATCAGTGTCACTGGCTGACACGATTACTGCGTGTGACATTATACCACGGCTCTAAAGGAAACAGGCAGAGTGCAAAGGAAAAAAAAAACACCTAATCCAAAACCTGCAGCCATCCTAGGCAAAAGGGACCAGGCTCAAAGAGATATTAGCAATCTCAGTCTTTCCAGTTAAAGAGAAGGTCCTTGCACTGCGATAGACACATGTGGCATTTCAATGAGCTCCTACGCTTGGAAAATTGGTACACTTCTGCCTGCCCCAACACATATCCTGGAGTGCTCCAGTTCTCAAAGACTGAGGGCAAAGATCAGAGGAGGGGGCACAAAATGGTTAAATACAAACAAATGAACCAACACAAAAAAAAAAAACAAAAAACAAGCCACCAAAAAAACCAACCTAGCATCAGACAGGAGATAAAGCCTGACCTGTGATTCAGCAGATTTGAATGCTCAGAAGTACAGCAGCCTGTGCACTATTGAAAGACAGCAGCAGTCCATTACACATATTGATTTGCAGCACTTTGTCAGCACTAATGATGTTACCTCATTAAAAGAGATAAATGCCCTACTGTTCCACCAAAAGCATCTGCTCCCTCCTTTTCCTTGCCTGTTCTCCAGCAGGACCCTCAGCAGCAGCAGTGAAAACAAATCAAAATCCAACACTAAACTTGCTTGGAGCCACTTGCTAAGGTTGCTTTTTTGTTGTTTTAATGTTAATGTATTTATGTAAATTTTTTTAATGATGTTATTCTGTGTTTCCTACCAGGTACCTCTTCTGTTGATACTGAACCAGCACATGAAAGGAAAACAAAGCCCTGTGAACCACCATGGCCCACTGGTTTTCAAAGAACTTCTCAGAAAATAAACTAGTGTCTACCTCAAATAATTAATTCACTGTTGTGTAAAACAATACAGGCTGCAACTTCAATCACAGCAGGTGAAGTAAGTGCTAGTAGTGAAGTAGTAAGGGGGTGACAATGACTTCTGTCCGTTAACACCCTACAATGTGTTGCCACACTCAACAGTTTTCTCCCAACAGATTCCTCACTACATGCAAAGGTAGCAGTTTACCATAATGAATGTTTTATGTATTATTCCTTTGTGTATAGGGTCTCCAAAGTACACATTATTAAAGTCTACTAAACTCTCTATTTAGCAGAATTACCAATATGCCTTTGGGGAAATTATTACAATGAAGCTGTACCGGTATTTAAATTCCAGTTGTTCAACAATCTTTTCCTAATCACCAATCCAGGTATAAACATTAAAGTGCAGTCAGACTTCTTCCAGCGGGGCATAAACATGTCTATGAGCTGCTTATGGAAATTCATTTAAAAAAATGAGTATTTCAACTTGTCATGTTTTTCATAATTAGCCTCAGACAGCTACTGTTTTAAAGTAATAGGAACTCCGTCCTGATCCTCTTCACCAAGCAGAGCCCTCCTTTGGTTCTGCAATACAGTTGAGCCTGGTTACAAAACCAGTTAACTATTTGCAGCCATACAATTTCTATCAACATATCAGCATCTGCAAGGTATCAGCCTAATCAAGGAAAATTTGGCCAACAAGGTCTCATTCTTTACAAATGGCTTTTCTATGACAAAGGACCTGTCCTCAGTGCAAGGGATGGAGCAGTTCAAAAGCTGCTTCGACTCACTTGTATGCCCAGGTCCCTCTCTGGTCCAGATACTCAACTATCTGAGTTGTATGTGAAGCAACAACAGAGCAGCTACTAACTGTTGTTTGAGCCCATTTCCACTTTTAACCTGCACACTACAGCTATAACTAACTACTCTCTAAATGTGGTGGTTTCTTAGCAATGAGTCAAACTTGGTTCCAAATTTGTAAATGTGTGTCTGTACCTCCTGTGATAAGAACAAATATTTTTCCAGTGGGAAATATCATGTTTCTCAGGAGAAGAGGAAGTAAACTCCATCATACTAGAAATCACAGGACTCAGCTTTCGGCAGGGCAGGGGAGGAAGAAGAGAACTAAGTCCCAACCTTTCAGGTTTCCCCCATGACCTTCAATAAATCACTGTGTTCCTGCCTCCATTTTTCATCAGTATGAACTGCTTGGGTTGTATCTATGGGGCAGTCAGGCTCTCCAGCAAAGACAACCAAGCCAGCACCTAAACAGATGTCTTGTCCTTGCTACTACATTACACTGGCAGTTATACAACTTCAACACTCGTTTAATTCTCAGTCACCTTCAACAAAGAAAACAACATTAACGTATTGAAAAAATGCTGACAACAATCTCACAAAATCAGTGGGCACAGAAACAGAATACAAGTCACAGAGTTGCTCAGTGGGATTTTATCTCATATGAAGATGCAGAATTTAGGCCATCATACAACTGCATGTTTTGATATGCCAGAATTCAAAGTTTACATCTAAGTACAGATAAAAGGAGGACTAAGGTCATCACTGGAAGCTGGTATGTGTACTAAACATTCCTCTGACAAGTATGAATCAAATACTGTCTGCTCTTTTTGGCTCTAAGGCAGGCCTGCACAATGAAGATGTTTCCATCACGACCAAAAGTCCTTCAGGGAACAATCCTTGGAAAAAAAGCACAGCAAACAGGTGGGCATATTTTAGCCATACACTAATTCCCTCTAAACCAATGAACAAAAGTACTTCCTTTCTCCAGTTACAAACTCTGAGCCAGATCACCTTCTCTGTTTTACGTTTTACAAACATAATCTCATTGACTTTGCTCAAGTTACACACGCACGAGAGCAGATTTTGTCATCGTGCACCATGGGAGACCAAATCTCCCATAAGTAAGAAAGGAAACAATCTGTTCACCTTAAATGAAGTGGGATGAGGAACATCCCTTTCACCTCTAAAAAGGAGACATATGTCTAACAGACAAAGGGAAAACATCACTAATTTCACTTCTTCAGTTCCCCTCTCCACTAGAAAAGACTCTTGTACGCTTTAAAAGGATACATTTTTCAGGCTTTTAAGGTTACTTTATGTGACTGCAAATCAGAAGGCCAAAAATGTCAGTTGTTGGCTTAGAGATGTCTCCAGTGTTTACTTCACTATTCATTAAAGAAGTACCCCTTCTATCCTGTTTGACAGGGGTGGTAGAGATCAAGGGTACAGCTCTATTGCCTGAATTTGTCAGTCCCTTTTTCCTATCATTTGCTTCTTTACCTCAACACTAGTTTCATGACCACGAGGTGAGATGCTTCCCTGAGTTGCACAAAATCCAACCACATCTTTGGTTTAGTTAGTTGTTGACTGACTTCACCCCATTGAGCAGCTTATGGTCAGCTTCATAAGCACCAATGCTGGTGCAAGAGGGAATGGGGGAAGTGCTGGCTAAGGACAATGTGGGGAGAGAAAGAGGATGAGCAGCAGTAATTGGGAATGGTTTAGGCTGCCACAACACCTCTAGGCCCTGAAACCCGCCAGAAGACATCATAGGAACACATGACACAACGCACAGTGTGGCACTTAACAGGGGGGCATTGCAATACATGTGGCTAATGTTCCCATCTTGTTATGTTGTTGTGTTCATCATACCAGATGACAGACCTCACAAAAGCACCTGGCATTGTACTCAATGTCACTTTTCTTCCAAGGTATTGGGTGTAGGCCTTCATTTGTTACTGAGGCACGTGAACCAGCAGCCACCCCACACTTTGTCTCTCCTGCCACCTACTGTATGTGGTGGCATATTATGTGTCACCAACTCATGTGTGTCTCCATTTCTGTTTGGAAAAAACAACCTTTAGTTCTTCTAGAAGTGCCGCTGCATGCACACAGGGACTCCCTGCTGTCACCACTCCTCCAGCAATGCTATCCAGCATTTCCTGATGAAGGCTAAATGCAGCCCTTTGAGCTCTACTTAACTCACTGATGCTTCAGGGTTAAAATTAGCATTAAATACTAAAAATTCTCCAGAGTTTAGGGCATGAACTTCTCTCCCCCTTTGCCTCATGGAGAATTAATTACAGAAGATTTATTTTAAACACTGAACAGGCCATGATGCCCCGTAAACCTCTGTCCCTCAATTTGCTGTTACTTCCAATGACAACACTCACAAGGGGCAAAGCCCAGCAGAAAAATAACTTTGCATTGAGAGTGGGCAGGGGTGAAACTCTTGCTGCACTTGAGCTGCGTAACCAAATGAGTGTCACTCAAGAACAGACCTGCCAGATGCAAGAGTCTGTTTTAGACCGTGGTTGATCCTTGCCCTTTTAACCTCTTGCTCTCAAAACACACAGCTGAGCAGGTCTGGCTGTGCCACGTGTACCCTTGGCAGCACAGCGCTACCCAGATGTCCTCCCCATGTGGTCCCCCTGCCTACAACATCAATGGCTGCAGAAGGGGTTTCACTGACACTTGCCCAAGCAGTGTATCCAAGGAGGAGAATTCTTTAACCATAACCATCTGGGTTCTGCCATCCATCCAGACACCGTTAACCATAGTGAACGGCATCAAGAAAAGCAGCAACAAGTCTGAGCTGGTCCAGACTAGTCCAAGCCCACCACAGTGGCTTCAAACCCATTCACGGTACTATGTGGAAGCCAATAAGCATCCAACCTGAAACCAATTAGATAGATATCCCATGTTAATTATGTATGCAATCCTCCCAGAACACATGATAAGTTTATTTTCAGTATTTTATTATTAATTTTTTTGGTGGACATCCTGAGCGTCGCTCTGCCCTAATTGCCCACAAACTATCACGTCTCAACATCGACATTGCTGCTCTCAGCAAAGTTCGTCTCCGCGAGGATGGCAGCCTTAGAGAACATGGTGCCGGTTACACACTCTTTTGGTCAGGTAAGCCCAGAACCGAAAGCCGAATCATGGGTCATTTACCGCCACCACCTGTGACTCCTAGAACACTTCAGTCAACGCTGTCTCCGCACAATCCTAAACATCCACTGGTCAGATTATGTAACTAACACGTCTGTTCTAGAACAGGCAGCAGTCACAAGTATTGAGGCCATGTCGCTGAGAACACAGCTGCGTTGGGCAGGGCATGCCTCAAGCATGAAGGACCACCGCCTTCCCAAGATTGTGCTCTATGGTGAACTTGCCACCGGCTGCTGCAAAAGAGGAGCCCCAAAGAGGAGATACAAGGACTCCCTGAAGCAACATCTCAGCCTTGGCCACACTGATCTTCATCGCTGGTCTACCCTGGCCTCCAGTTGGGAGGTCTGGAGACACACAATCCATAACGCTGCTGCTTCTTTTGAGAACGCACGCAGGATCACCATCGAAGAGAAAAGACAACGCAGAAAGAATAGTATCCTGCCGATACCATCCAAGGAGTCTTTCTGCTGTGCCTTTTGCAACCGGGCTTGTCTATCTCGCATTGGTCTCTTTAGCCACCAGCGCGCCTGTAGCAAATGTGGGTACAGCCCTTCTCAAATCTTCGTTCATGAAGCCTAGCCATGACTATTAATTTTAAGAAAGTATTCAAATAGAAAACAACAAGCTGAATTTTCTAAAAGAAATCTCATTATTTTCTAGTAAGAAGCTAGCTTGTGGGTGCTGGTTTATTTTCCCATATATGGCATTCCCTTTTACCTAATCAACAGCTTGGGGCTCTATGACAGCAGCTATCTTTGATAAAAGGAGTATTCTGATGAAGGAGAAACACATCCAACATTTGCATGATCCAGTAAGCTATCAAATGTATTTATTTATGCTGTGACCACAGTAATCAAGAGGTATTAAATGTGGAATGGAGCATCAGTTAAATGCATTTTAAATCTGATTTTTCACTGGTTGCAGTAAGGAAATTGTTGACTAGCGGGCTCTTTAGGGTCTTTACAGGCTGCAGTTAGAGAAGTGGATACAGAAGATAAATCCCGCAAAATCAAATCTTACTTTTGCAAGTAATAGT